GAGAGAGAGAGAGAGAGAGAGAGAGAGAGAGAGAGAGAGAGAGAGAGAGAGAGAGAGAGAGAGAGAGAGGTGGTCAGCAGTTCAATTCTTTCTAATACCTAATGGCTGTTTTATAAGAAATCAGATATTTTTTGTCTACCTGATGCCTTCCACATTAGTTTGCATAGACAATAGCTTAAACCAACATTTCAAACTCTGGTTGTGTTGTGTTTGTTTAAATTATATATAATCCTGTGGCAGGGAATTAGATGCTGACAAAGATAAGGTATGAAAAACTGGACTTACTCCAGACCATCTTTTGCTAGAGTAAATTGCAGTAAAGTCAGTATTCAGTTGGTACACTATTCAAAGTTGATCTACTGAATGTAGACTAGAGAAGCTACTCTCTATTACATTGCTTAGTTTTAACTTCTGGCCTAAGCTGCTAATTCACTTGGGTCAGTCTACAATTCAGGATGCTCAAGTTAAGCTTTAAGCTGTGCATTCTACCACAAAATGGAATATATTTTTTAGAATGTATTCTAGGTGTTCCACTCTCTCTGACTGAGCAGTAGTTAAATAAAACACAACATACTTAAATCTTTGGAAAAAAAAGTCTCTAATTAAAACAAGTGCTTCTTTTTCTCCCACACAGATTTCATATTCAGCACATGGGTTCTCCACACAACCTATTTTCATCACACAAGCAGGAATTGAAGGGTGAGGGAGAGAGGGAATGAAAGGGAGAGAGGAGGTCTCTAGCTTATGCCCTTAGCCCTTCAATTTCAAGTCCAAAGGCTTCAGAAAGTGTGGCAAAGGCAGGCCATCCAGTGCCTCTGGGAAATGTTCAGGTGAAATGTTCCCAATTAAAACTTGCATGGATCTAACAAAGAGAGAGAAAGGGGCTAAACCAGCCAACCACTGATATCGGCTATTACCCAGAAGGTCCTGCCATGGCTGCTGGTCTTCCTGCAGCTGCTGTTTCATGGCGAAATGGAAGCCTGGAGGCATGAAGAGGAAGAGCGAGTCCAGAAGGAGGAGCTTGGTGCACAGATTTGATGCTGGGCTCTCCCAAATTTGTTGCAGAAGGAGATCTAGAGGTGTGTTCCCAGCACAGTCACTAAGGCAAGGCGAGGCTCTGTGGCCCAGCAACAAAAGCAAACACTCCGGCCTTGCCAGTTCACAGGCCATGTGAAGGGCAGTTTTGCCACCCTCCACTTGACTGCAACCTTGGCGGTCCAAGTAAGTAGCTTGGTCGCTTACTGGGAAGTTTCTGATGGCCTTCAGAATCTCTACAAGGATATGGATGCGGTTGTACCGGACAGCCATGGCTAAGTGAGGAGCTGAAGAGTGGCAGCAGCTAAAGTGAAGGCTCGGTATTGCCAGGGCACTCTTAGGAAACTGGCTCAGTAAATATCGGGCATAAGGCTGGTGATTGTGTACCAGGGCATACAGCAGCGCCTCTGAAGGTGAGTATGTGCTGACCTTGCCTCCTTCTTGCCAGTGGAAAACCTCCATGCGCCTCATGTCCTCCAAGAGCCATACGGGTAGCTGGTCTCTTACAGCTTGATAGAAAGCAAAAGAGGACTTCTTGCATTGTTTCTGGGACTGGGAGCTGTGGCTGTTGCAGCTACTCAACCATTTGACATTCCAGGGCATCTTTGAGGTTGGATTCACAGGAAAGGGCTCCCTTCTTGGCTATCAGACGTTTTTCTCATGAAGATCCAAGAGGGCAGAGGAAGGCTTTAAGAGAAAAGCAATGGTTTAGAAACTACCCCTCCAAAAAGCAACATAAAGGGCCACTTGGGCAGATGTCCTTCTGGGTCCTTGTCCATCATGCAAGACTCATTAAAGTAATTATTTTAGTAATCTGAAGTTCCAGAGAGCTGTTTCACATAGCTTTTCTCCTTCTTTCTCTCTCTGCTGTAATCCCTCCATCTGTGATACAGGTCTTAATAAATGCTAAATTATCTTCTAAGGCTATTGGAAAAATGACAGCTAGATAATGCATGTGAGACACTTGAACCCTTTACTTTTCTCAGTAAGTTCACAAAAGTCAATAGCCTACCAAACCATTTACTAGTTTATGGAGGGCTGGCAGAAGAGGAAATGAAGACTCGGTCTGTCTTCCAGGAATCTACTGCAGAGGAGGGAAGGAATCAACTCCATCGTCCCACTTAGCTGAATGCAACTCCTCATAATCTGTGGCAATGCTTTTCATTGGTGGTGCTGTTTGAGGAATGTCCTAATAGGGGACTCACTTGACAAGGTATAGAAACATTTCAGTTTTAAGGCCAAGTGTAGCACCTTTTAGATCTCGGCTACTATTACAGTCAGCTTCATCCTGATGCTATTCAGCCCATATCTTTAACCATAATCCTTTGAAATGGAGAAGGAAACTATTCAGCATTCAAAATACTTAGCAACTTTGAGTCCTGAAGAAAACTTCATGAGACCTAAACTTATACTGCAGTAGAGGCAAAAGTATTGTGGGTCACTTGACAAAAGCTGTCTGAAAATGATGGGGAAGAACTTTGTCTGAGTCTGCAGCAGAGCCTCCCCATATTTATGGGAATCACTGGCATTGCTGCCCAAGGATTCTGAGCATTCTGAAAATGTTCCAGCAACATCAGTTATAGTATAGTTGAAATTACCATGAAATTACCATGAAGTGAGGTTGTTTTGAAACTCTATGGCTCCATTTTCTCATTGGAAGGAACTCTGCTAGTTACTGAATGTCAGATTCTATAAGGAAAATTGTAGTTTGAGGGCTTTGCATTTCCCCTTCAGTAGCCCAGACAAAAAAGCTGACAAGTCTGTGGCATTGTTATTCTTGCAGTTGCCTCTTCTCCAAGATCAGCTCTTGCATGAAAAGTGCCAGGCTTCTGGTGTTTTTCTTTTCCTTCTATCCCTTTTATGTGAAAGGGGATGATGGGATTTTTGCTGCTGCATAATTTGTAGCAGCTCAAGATGGCACTGTATTTTTCTCAGCATTTAAAGTCAAGTGAAGATAGGTCAATCATGGGTCACTTTCAAACTACTTCTGAGGGTTTGGGGAACAAAAACAGTAGCAGCGCCCTCAATACCTTCCACAATTTCTACCCATCATTCCTTTTCAGTGGACCATTTTTTGACTTGGTGGGGATTTTTTGGCTAGCTTCTCCCAGCATAAAAGTCTTTTCCTACTTCCTGTTCCCCCCACCTCCTGCCAAACAATAGACTCATCTGGTCATCTATCAGCTCAGCTTAGCCAACACCTCTAATATCCCTCAGCTCAGTTAGATCATCTTTATCCCTACCTCCAAATTCTGTCAACAGTTCTTTCTGTGGTTATCACCTCTTGTACCACTAGTTTTGCTTAGTGATTTTTTTTTCCTGCCCTTACAAATAAGAGAGAAGGAGGGGGATGTTGGCTGAACAAATTTAAATCTAACCCAGACTGAATCCATCTTCCTACAAGACAGATGAAATGGAAATTTGCAGTGCTAGAGGTTTACGAGGCACCTGGACTCTAACAAATCTCACCGTCTGTCCTCTTTATATTACTTTGAGCATGATAAAGGAAATAGACAACACCTTTTCAGAGGTCTATTTAACTGGGCTGTCTATGACTCTTTATCTAAACCTGAATG